CATTGCGGGGGGTTGTCTCATGCCTCTTGCGGGAGGAACTGCACGTACTTCACGTGTGGACGAGACTGCCGCCAAGGCCGTAGTTCCTTCCGGGGCTGATATCATCGTCCTTGTTGTTGTTATCGTGGAGTCTCTCAGTGCCCTCTTGGTGCAGAAAACCCCACGAGAGGCCTCAGACAGCCAAGAGGGCTCCACAGCCGTCACCATCACGAGATACTCACGAGTAGTGAGAAGCAAATCATGGTACACCACATAAAGTGGCATCTCCGCACGCGCACAAACAGCAGAGGAGGGATGGATATAGCATGTCACACCAGCATTGAGCATTGAACGGTATTCACTCCAGTTTGTATTGGAGCGGCGAGCGGACTGTAGACAAAAACCATTCGCTACACACCGTCGCACCTGATCAAGTCCTTTATGTCCACAAGATAGAATAGGAAGTTTTAATTGTCGTAACCGCTCTATTAACTGTTGCTGTACTTCACACGCACGTATGAGAGTTGGTGAGTGTAAGAAATGATCCTTTGCCCATTGTCGTGACTTTCCATTTTCAATAAAGTGTGTCATGACATTTAATAAAGTAAGATGATCCGAGTCATTCACGTAAAAACGTCCATGATGCTGTCGAGCAGTTTCTTCTCTATCCTTTGGGAGTTCAAAAAGTCCTTTAGGGTCTGCTGATATCATTGAAACAATTCGAACCGTCTCTACAGCACATTCACGCTCTACACTATCTACTAACATTTTCGCCAATGAAGGGGCAAGTGGAAACTCCAATGCCCGTCTTCCATCTGTAGTAATAGCACCTGTATCATCAAGAAGTCCTAATACCCATAACTGCCACATACTTCGACGGATGTTTGCCGCTGGTGGGGGGTCCATAAAGTCAAAATCAATAAGCCGCGATACACCAATGCTTTTTAATAATAATACGACACTATCAATACTGCTACGTTGTATTTCTGGTACACTGCTGATGAGCATTTCATGTGTAAATTGTGCCTCCGTATATAGTCGAAAACATACTCCGGATGTTGTACGACCTGCTCGACCTTTACGTTGATTTGCCTGCGCTTGTGATACTGGATATCTTTGTAGTGTATTCATTCCAAGTTTTGGACGAAACACATTTGTTTTCATAAATCCACAGTCTACAACATATCGAATACCATCAATAGTTAAGGATGTTTCGGCGACATTTGTCGCCACCACACACTTACGCATTCCTGGTGGAGTAGCAGTTAACACCCCAGTGGATGTATTGACCGCCTCTGAAAGACATGGTAATATTAATAATGTTTCCAGCCATTTTGGATCTAACTCTTGTAAACGACGTCGTATTAATTCACATACCCCAAGAACATCATCTCTACCTGTCATGAAAACAAGAATATCATGTTTTCCCTCTAATGGCATTTGAATATGTAATTGACAAACTCGAAATACAGCATCCGCTACATAATCATCTACAGGGGCTGAAGTGTATTGTAGTTCTACATCATATGTTTGTCCAGGAATTTCATAAAAAGGGGCATTTCCAAAGAATTTTGAGAATTTTACAATATCCATAGTAGCGGATGTAACTACAAGTTTTAAGTCTGTACGACGACGAACAGCCGCCTTTAAAACCCCTAAAAGTACATCTGTATTAATAGAACGTTCATGCGCCTCATCTAATACAATAACACTATACTTACTGACATCCGGATCCCGTACAATCTCACGAAGAAGTACACCATCCGTCATAAATTTTATTTCTGTTTCTTCTGTTGTACAGTCATCAAGGTGAATTGCATATCCCACACGTGTTCCTAAGGCACATCCCATCTCTTCACTTACACGACGAGCAACACCAATAGCGGCAAGACGTCTTGGTTGTGTACATCCAATAATTCCACCACCACCACTACGAGTATAACCACGTTCATATAAATATTGTACTAATTGAGTGGTTTTACCACTTCCTGTTTCACCAACAACAACACAAACCGAGTTTTCTCCAATACATCGAAGTAATTCATCTTTACATCGATAAATAGGTAACTGTTGCCTTACCGCTAGTAAAGCAAGACGTTTCGCCATATAATCATCCGTATGACTACTAGATTCTGCTAATTGATTTTTAGCTTCTTGAACACGATCCAGTTTTTCTTGACGTCTTCGTAATGTATTTGCATATTGTCGTGCACGTTCCTCTTTTTCTATTTCCTCAATACTTGCAGCATTAACAACTTTACTAAAAGCATTAGGATTTGTAGGATCCATCATATGATCTAGTTTTGCCTGTTCTATACGAATCTTACGACGCAGCATCTCTGCTTCACCCTCCATATCTTCATCTGTATTTCCCTCAGTATTTGTCCAGGAATTCAAAGAATTAACGTTCTTTTTATTATTATTATTATTATTATTATTATTATTATTATTATTATTATTCGCTTCTTCTTCCTCTTCTTCCATTGTCATTACTTGTTGTCCTGCTTCTCCTTTTCGCATTAATCGTGAAAGATCAGACTTACTTGTATCCATTGCCGCTCGAGTGGTACGCTCCACTTCTTGTTGTCGTTTAAGAGAGACAAGCATCGCACTTCCCTTCGCCGCACTTTGGACTAAACGACATGTAGAGTTCACCACAGGTAATATAATATCAGACTTTTCATTCTGTACAGCAAGCGCTGTTAATGGATTCTCTGTTTCTTTCCCTTCTATTCCTTTTTCTTCTTCTTCTGATGGTGATGATGATGATGTGCGTGGGAGTACCGCTGGGAAGTCTTTATTAAGTTGGAAAAACAACGGCTGTAGTCGTGTGTTCACCACAAGATCAAACTCCTCCTCCAACTCCTTATTCCTCTTCTGCTGTTCTCCACCCTTTCCCCTTATTAAACCCATTCCCTCATCAAATCCAATATCACTATTATTATTATTATTATTATTATTATTATTATTATTATTGTGAATACCGCCGTTATCATCTCGCTCGGTGGAGTTGTCGCGATGATGTCGTTGACGTAGACGTTGAAGATAATCCTCCTGTAGATAAAATGCACTTCCGTAGGCAACTTCCACATCATCAGATCCCGTCACATGTGCCTCGGTATCATCTGTAGGATCACCAAGCATTAATATCTCATCATCATTTGCAGAAGGAACAGTTGTGTGATCATTACTGAGGGGCAACTCTCGTTGGCGTCTTCTTCCTTCCATCATCAGTGAGGGGAAAAAAAGAAAAAAAATAAGATGTGAGAAGAGAAGAATCACTAGAAAAAAAAAGTGGAAGAAGAAAAAAAAGAAAATAGAAGAACATTAACAAAAAAAAAGCCATAAAATACAGGTAAAAGAAGAATCATTAAGAAATATAAATATAACTAGATAAATAAATAATAATAATAATAATAATAATAATAATAATAATAATATCATTATTAATTCAAAGCAAAAACTATTGTGTTTTTTCTTTTTCTTTTTTTTTTACACACTCTCTTTTTCTTTGTATTGCTTATTATTTTTCAACGTACGAACGGATAACTCATGTAAGAGAATACTACAGTCAAGTTTAGTAAATGGATAACAGATCTCAGTACCTAATAATAACATATCCGTATAAATGTATATTACCAATAGGTTTCTTTTTCCATTTCTTTTATTATTTTTCCTGATACTTTGTTGTATTTGTTTTTTTTTTTTTTTCTTTTCTTTTCTTTTCTTTTCTTCGTTCTTTTTCTTAAAATCCCACCCCTTCTTATGAGCAAGTTTAATAGTCTTTACCTTTTCTCCCACACATGTGAGTGTCAAATGTCAACTAACTACATCTTTGTTTCCATACTCCACAAGTTTGTAAAAAAGGGGAAGTATGCCTTTTTATTATTATTTTCTTTACTTTTTTTTATTTATTTTTATCTTTAAATCCATTTCAGAGACGTTTCCTTCTCCACTTATGATAGTAATAATAATAAAAGATCCTTCTTTTTTACACTTCTTGACATGTCGTCTTCTCCCCTACATTCATCACTTCTGGTGTTGTCTCCTCCTGATGTTGCTGAGCTCTATTGTATTCCTCTTCTTGTCGCTCCTTCTCTTGATCGAGCATTTCCTTTAGTGAGGTTTGATCCCAAACATGATAAAATAAACCTGCAATCAAGAGAAGAATAACACCACCCACTTTATGTCCAACAATACCATGAACTCCATACACATCCCACTTGGGTACAATAATTAATACAACCCCAGTAATTGGACCAGCCATCTGCAGAACAACAGAGGCAAGTGTTGGGGATCGTTCATTTAAATAGGAACAACCGACAAAACTCATAAAGAAACCAAGTGTGTGGAGCATCCCATACCGTACATTTATCCAAGAATCAAAGATAAAATCACAGGATTTCTTAAATCCACTCCAGGCTTCAGAAACAGAGGAGGATGTACCAAACCAGGGAATAGCATCCACTGGAAAAAGAGCAAAGGATACAAGTGCTTGAAATATAATACCACATAAAAGTAAAACAGTCTTAGCAGCAAGATCATCCACATTCTGTTTTCCCCATTCACGCTGAGAAACCAATAAAGGCTCTGATAAACCTATTTCTGTATTTTCTCCAATTCCTACATGCTCCAAATTATCATTATCATTATATGAAGTATCAGGTAAATGTGTTTGTGTAGGATCCCTTTCAAAAGAAACCACTCTTCTTTCATCATATCTTCTTGCTGTATCAATTCCTCCTTCTGTTGTTGTTGCTGTAGTGTTTACTGCAACTGATGATGGTGTTGTGAATACGGGTAAATGATGCCGAATCATAATAGCATCTAAATACAATCTCTGTACAACACACCATAAACCAAAAACAACAGCACTGGCAAGATAAACAAGAGCCCAATTCCACGGTGCGGCTCGCCCAGTCTCCGCAGTATCCATAAAACTGGACATGGATGAAAGAAGTACACCTGCAATACAGAAAATAAAAGATCCGATAAGAGTAAGAGAAAGATAACGTCGTTTACGTTCTTCTACAACAAGTAAATAGGTCCAAACTTGTGCACAGAATGGAATAACACTGAGAAGTACAGCTTGTAAAAACTCTGGTGTGTGAGACATGGAATAAACGCCCAATACACCGGTAAGAGCATTCGTAGAACCGGAGGCAAATAGTAATAACAATCTATATAAAGGTCCACGTACACGATTGGTATCTACTAATGCTCGCCAGAGTGGTCGAAAGCCAAACATTACAAGATAAGTTACCCCAACAATAGTAAAACACATACAAAGAAAACAAGAAACAATAACTTGTACAGCCATTTGACTGGAGTTGGTAGAAGCTTCTTCTACTGGAAAAATACTGAGCCAAAAGTTTAGGGAAATGAGAAGAATGACATTTCCAACAATAACCACCAATACGCATATAATAGCAAACGCCAATGTGGTGTTTAATTCTGCCTCACGAATCCCACGGACCCACGCTGCCCATTCAGAAACTGTATTTTCCCAGATATCTGTTGGCAAACATCCCGTCTTTTTATTATTGTGGTTAGAGACCATTTTTGTAATCTTAAGATAAGAAGTAAAAGGAACCACTGACACGAGTGTAAAAAAAGAAAAAAAAAGAAAATAACAACAACAACAAAAAAAAAAAAAAAAAACGAGTCTGGAGTTTTTTTTTTTTTCTTTCTTTGTTTTCTTTCTTTCTCTCTTATTTATTACTTATACACCTTTTTAAAGATTATACTATTAAAGCTTTAATGGTTAAAGATAATATGATAAGAAAGAAAATAGAAAAAAAAAACAAAGATGCAATTTACTATATTCAGTATCCTGAATTGTTATTTTTTTTTTCTTTTTGCAAAGAGTGAAATACACTGCAACGAAAAAAAAGAAAAAAAAACTTTGTTTAAACAACATAATATAAATATATAAGAAAAAGGTAAATTTACCATATACTCCAAGGGAAATTCCTTAGACAGCAACAATTGATCTTATCCAGCAGATATTTCCTTCATTCCTGCTGCCTTCTCTCTTCAAAAGTTCTACGAGTCGTAAAATAATAATAATAATAATAATAATAATAATTAAGAAATATAGAAAAAAAAGAAAATGTGCAATAGTGAGTTGTAAGATTCTTTTTTTTTTTTTTTAATTTTTTCTCATCCATTCCTATCATATGCCTCCCGTTGTTTTGGATCTCGAAGTACACGATAAGCCTCACTTAACTTCACCATTCGCTCTGTGGATCCTCCAGCATCTGGATGTTCTGTTAACACCAGTTTTCGATAAGCCGAACGAATCTCATTTACAGACTCTTTACCTGTTAATCCTAATATCTTGTAATAACCACGGGGATCAGAAGGAGTATCTCGAAATTCTTTTCGGGTTTGATATGCATGTGTATCCCAGTAAGAGGAACGTTGATATTCTTCTTGAATACGTTGGGAATCTACACTTGGTCGGAATCCACTTTTATCTTTATTCTCATGCATTAATCGTAATTTCTCTCGCTGTAATCGAGAGTAATCACGACGCCAAGAGGGAAATTTCTTCGCTGCATAAAAAGCAGCATAATAAACCGGCACAGAAAGTAAGGAACCTGCAATCAAACCAGTTCCTATAGAGGATGATAACAATAAACAAAGGGCTACAGAGCTTACAGCCGCAAGTCGACCAACATAAAGAGTGTTAATGAGAAATGGTCCACTTACATTTCCATTAATACCACTAACATATAAAGTATACATCTGAGTATCATATTCTGCCTTTACAACATAACATGGAACAAAAACAGGAATTACATGTTCTAATTGAATTTTTAACTTATTAAATTCTACACTAATAGTAGAAGCTGAAGGGTGATAAGAACGAATAAGAGCTCTTGCTGTTTCTTCCGCTTGTCGAGTAACTTCTTCTTTAACGAAAACATTTAATGTTGTGGTAGATTGTTCAAAAAGATTAATAGTAGCATTTGATGTATCTACCAAATTCATAGGACGAAGATGTAAAGGATTTTCCTCATTACGAAGTGCCTTATGAACATGATGAATATTATATTTATAACCTGCATATATTTGGGTTCGATTAGGTTCAAAAATACTATTAATGGGTTGTGGCATAGTTGTTGTTTGACTCGATCCACTTTGCAAATTACCTTTCGAATCCTGCGTTGTCGTACTATAGCTTACAATCCCTCTAAAGGATCCCTTAATGTTCCCTTGACAATAGTAGAATGGAAGAAACTCTGCAGATGGAGGATGAAGATAGAGAAACTCTTGGGCAGCACCAAACCATCGACTATTGTACTTTCCACGAATTCGTGCAATAGCATCATCGGGGCTTAATAGAAATGGAAGACCACGCGGGGAATGTACTTTCATTTAAAATGATATTCTTTTTTTTTATGTGATACCCTGTACCTAAAGGGATATATATATATATTATATAAACACACACACACAGAGAGAGAGAGAGACAGAAATAGAGAGAATATATGTGTTTAACACACACAGATAAAACTCACTCACTGTCTATTTCTTTAAATAAATATGTTTTCGTCTTATTATTTCTTCTTCTTTTTCCCTGGTCCAATGAACTATATCAGTAGAGATGCCCCTATATATATAAACATATATAAAGAATAGCAAAAAAGAAAGAGAAAGAGAGAGAATGATGAAAAGCAGACAGATATATCTCAATTGGAACTAATAAAGATGTTTAAACTCTTCTTCCCCACCATACGCAAACACGTAAAAACGAAGAAAAAAAAAAACAAAGCAATAAAATATAGTTTAATATATTTTTTTTTGCTTTTCTCTTTTCGCATTTCGTACAAATCCTTTTCTTCATCTTTTTTTTTTCTCTCTGTCTCTCTCTTTCTTTCCCTTTACAAGACTTCTCCTTTAGTGTTGAATACGCATGGATGTACGGAATTGCACCACCTCAATTGTCACTGCAGCACTCTCTGAGAGAACATCACTGACAACTTCTCCACACCGCGATACCCAATGAATCTCAATAGTGGGTGTAGCCACAATAGATATCTTTTGCTGTTGCTGTTGCTGTTGTTGTTGTTGTTCTTCACGTTGTTGTAATGATTGCAGTGTTGGTTGGGAGAGCATTGTCACTTCCTCCTCCTGATCTACAGTAAATACCGGTAGTTTGGGTACAGGCACCGCCGTAAAATGTAAAGTTTCATCTTCCATCATTGAAAGTGTACGGCGAACGCGTTGTTTGCCTGTTACGATCCACGCTGTGGAATCCACTTTAAATGTAATGAAGAACTCCTCTTCAGAGGAAGACTCCTCCGGCCAATTGTGCGCAAGTGGCTCTAATGTAACGGAGAAACGAACCGGTTCACCAATGGGAAAAACAAATCCACCGGGGAGATCGACAGGAGAAGCCCCAATAGGAGCTGAACGTACATCAAAGGAACTAAAACTCTTTTTACGATTAGGTGTATGGATTGAACTATCGTTTGGTACAGCAGCGTAGAAACTACGATTCGCAGGATCTGGTGGATCTACAAAGATTACCACATTAAATAGACAAGAATGTCGTGATGTAAACTTTCCTATTGGTCCATAAAATGTATTACATGTAGATTGAAGGGTTTCTAATTGAGCAGCATCGAAATGAACACGTGTTTGACCAGTAAAACACGTCGTATCATCTATTAAACTACTTTCCAATGAGTTTACCACTTTAAACTCACGTAAACCTTGATCAAACCTTTCCACCAGATTATTACTAGTACTAGTAGTATTAGTATTAATATTACTATTTACGGCTCCTGTACTTGGTGAGGCTAAATTGGGATGTAGAATAAATGACTTGAGTGGTTGACGTTCTTTTGCCACAGACCAATTAGAGTAGAGTAATTTTAACCGCACACGATGATGTAATTCCTTTTCATGTGTGTGTGGTTCCGAAGAGGGAGAGAGTTCAAAGAAGAGATGAATAACTTCACTTGGCTTCCACTCCCGTAGCATGAGAGATTCATGTGTAGAGGAAATGCGAGAAAGTTCAAAAAAACATTCAGCATCCATAAACTCTAACATAGCTCCCCGCAACCAAAGGGATGTTTGCTTAAGCACATTCTCTACCTGTACAAGACAGTAGACACGACTTTGAAAATATTTAAATGTGTAACGAACTGAAAATGCTTGTGCTAATCGAAATGGCACAGATACATTAGTGGTGTAGGATTGTTTATTACACATACAACTCAGAGAAACTTGAGTGCCATCATCATTACCAGATACAAATAATGGTAATAAAGGTAAAGAACACTTTAGACTAGTCGCACCAAATAAAATAAGTCCTTTCCTTGGATCTTTTGCTAATGGTTCCTCACCTCCTCCTTCTTTTTCTTTTTCTTTTTCTTTTACATCTTCTTCAAGACGAATCTTAAAGCAACACTGTTGTTTTGGTAGTGGAAGAATACTACCTTCTAACCGCATAGAGAATCCACCTAATCTCTTACTCTTATCCCCACTACTATTACTATTATTATTATTATTATTATTATTATTATTATTATTATTATTATTATGGATATCTCCATCCATTTCATATACAAGCGGTGGTAGATGCGACATGACAAATTGTTCATCTACTGGAATAATTGTAAATGCTCCAGTTTTATCATCCGTAATCGTCATTCGAGGGGCTACACCTTCACTTAATGGATCTGTATCTGGACGACGAAGTACGGAATCCAACTGCAGGGAAGTTTCCTTCACACTCCTCGCAATGATAGATCCTGGTCCCACAGTGGCATTTAATCCCCGTAATGGAATCTGTCGACGTGGACGAGTAACGTAAATATAAGCAAGTGTAAATGGATCTTGTTGTGGTGTAGTCTCTATAATGAAATGACGTAAATCCAACATTCCAACACTACGTCTTACTGGAGTAAGATCAGCTACTCTACTACTAGCAAATGGACTTTGTGTGGGTGGTGGTGGTGGTGTTTCGATGGAACAACTCCTGCACGTATTCATACCCATACCTCCTCTACTATTGGATTTAGTACCATTATTATTATTATTATTATTATTATTATTATTATTATTATTATTAGTAATACTAAGAGTACTACTAGTAGTATTTCCGAGTTGAGAAAGATACAGAGACCGTTCAACTTCTACATATACGGTAAAGAAAGTCAATGTATCACTAAAGCAATGTGGTTCTTCAGGAGGGACGACCCGCATTTTAATTCCAATATCAGGTTCAGGTACAGAGAGTATGGAATGCGGTAAACTCTCAACACTTCTTGTTCCTATAGAAGAAAGAATAGCAGACAAACCAGTATGATTAACAGCCGCGAATACATTGGAATTCCCAACATGTGTATAAACTAAAGTAGTGGCTGTGGCTATTTGAAGTGTAATGGAATGCATTCGATATTCCCCTGCACGACAAGGTTCAAATTCCCACACCCAATGTAATTGTTGTTTCTCCTCATCATGAGAAGCAGAGACAAGATTACTAACATCCAATACATGTAAGGGTTCATCTTCATTATCCCAGTCTTTTTTAGATACAAGGGTTGCGGTGAGCACCACATTTGTATCTTTTTCATCTTCACATTTCAACACATCAAAGGAACATGTCGCATTAAAACATAAAAGTACAGTTTCTCCTATTTTTGCACGTAAACCTGTTTTAAATTCTTCCTTTTCTCCTTTTTCTTCACATGATGATAAAGTCCTTTCATGTTGATGTTGATGTTTATTTTCTTGAGCAGTTGATAATAAATTATCGCATTTAATACAAGAGACCACTGATTCTCTAAGAAGAACAGAAATATCATATCGTTCTGCTGTCTCTGGATCTGTCTGTTCACATTTCCAATATCTATCCACATGCTTTAAACGAAACCACCAACGTAAAATAGGTTGTTTACCAGATAGAAAACGAATTTCCTCTCGTAATACACTAGGTTCATTTAATGCAATAATAATATGTAATAAAGATTCCTTTAATACATTAACTTCCTCTTTTTCTAATATGATTTCTTCTCCTTTCTTTTGTCGTTCTTGCATAACAAAATCCATAGAATCCAAATAGAGACGATAGACAACAATTTGTAATTGAATCCAACCATGACGAAGAAAAAAAGGAATAAGTCGTTGTCTACACATCGTTGCCGTTACAAGAGGTTCATCCATACAATAAGAAAGTGCCAATTTATAATAAAGTGTATGAGCAATATGTAAATCACTAATAATATCATAACCAACAGCAGATAATTCTGTAATAGTTCGGTAAAAAGCATGAAAAGCTTCAAAAGAGACAAGTTCTGACATACCAAACTCTTTCACAAGAGAAGGTGTTAAGGAAGATGTTTCCTCTTTTATACATTTCTCTTTTGGATGGACAATATCATCGGCTACATGATATCCAATAATGATAGCTAAATCTAATAATATCTCTAATGCATCCCCTGAAAGTTTTGCAAGTAATCGACCCATCCAATGAAGTTCTCCTATCCATTCAACTCCAAGTTGATGAGAAAGTATTCGAAGTCTTTCTAATGCAGCCACTGTATGTTTAACTTCTTCTTCATTAATATCACAAATAGATGGAAACACGGCAAAGCTATAACTTCTATTAGGCGAGACTGCAGAAACACTCCACTCCGGCTCTGGAGGTGGTGTAAGGATATCCGAACAAGTTGGACTGTTTATACTTTGAAGAGGTATAGAGAATTGATGTGGTTGTTGGAGTGGTTGTTGGGGTGTTTGCGGCTGCGGTGAATGTGGGAAAGTACCTGAAGAGGCCATTCGTGCATCTGGTGAAGATGGATATTGACTATTATTATTATTATTATTATTATTATTATTATTATTATTATTACTGCTACTGGTAGTAGTGACAGTGACGTTATTATTTGTTTGATTCGTATTCATAGTAATATTATTATTATTATTATTATTATTATTATTAGTATGTTGATTGGCTTCCCCAAGTGCCCAATTCAATCGCATAGCGGATAAAGAACATTTTAGGAGAAAAAATAATTCCCACGCTTCTGTTGTTTTGGAAGAAGTTTCTTCTGCAAAATTCTCACGTGCTACTTGAAGAAATAATCGATATCTCGCAAAGGCCGCTTCTCGTTTCCCAAGTAAAAGAGCACATTTCATCTCACATCCTACAATAAAAAGTAATCCTTCTACATAATCCGCATCATCTCTTAATACACTAGGATACTCATTCACGTAACTTGTTAAAACGGTTAAATCAAATACATTGGGAAGTTTTCCTAATTCCTTTAATGTTTCTATACTTTTCGTAAATGTATAATCCTCTGAATGATAATAATATTCTGCAAACATGGAAGAAAAAACACCCATTGCCTCTGAGACGACTCCAAATTGAAGATAATGCATCGCTAAATCATATCCTTTTCTCCAATATTCATGTAAACTCCATTCTTTTTTATTTTTATTCCCATCTGATGAAACTAAAGGGGCCGATCGTTTAAGTTTCTGATAAGATTCAAACACATTTGTTAACTGTATAGATCGTTCATGAAAGGCCGCTCGTAATCTTTCCACTATTCGAATAGGTGCTTCATTTGGTAAATACGCACACATTTGATGAGGAGCAAACTTTAATGCTTTCAGTTCTTCAAAGTATAATTCTAACGTCGCTGCTGCCGCATCTGCCTTTTTCTGATCTAATTTCTTTGAAATACTTTTTTCCAAAACTCCACAGGCTCTTCTTGTGCTAACACTCGCCGCATCCACAAGATCTTGATGATATAACATAACAAAACAACTTCCTTCATGATTTGTTTTTTCCAATAATGCCCGCCATTCCCGAGCCACATGTGTTAATAGTCTTGGACGTGAATAGTCCTGATCGACAGCAAATATATACACATTCAATAAAGAGGAACTGGCCCCGGCGTTAATATCCATGGCTTTACCAAACTGTAAACGCAATTTACTACCAGGATGACAGTTATCCACCACACGACTGGCATCCATATATGGTTGAAAGTAAGATTGCAGTTCAACAACGCAACGCTCTATACATGAGGGAGTGGCAACTTCTGCCATTTCTCGATTGATGTGCCGCACCAGACAAGCGACCATTGGGGGAGTAAGAGCAAAACATTGTTGAAGTGTATCGGGTTCACTTGAGGAGAGAATTGAACTTCTACTACGTTGATGATATAGATTCATTATTTCACTTTTTTTTACTGCTGTGTGTGTGTGTGTGATTGTGTGTGTAATTGAACTTTTTCTTATTATTGATATATATATATATATATATATATATACCTTTGTGTGTAATGTAATGTAATGTGTGGTTTATACACTTGAGTTTTGTTTCTTTTTCTTTTTTTTTTTTTTTGGTTTCCGTTTCCGCCTTTTTTTTCTTCTTTCGTCGTTTACGTGAGGAAAGATCCTCTTGTTTCTGACAGCACTACACGGAATTCCTAATGAATAGTCGCAAAATAAATTAAATAAATGAATAAATAAAAAAACAAAAGGAGGATGGTACAAGAGAAAAAAATATTAAGCAGGGAAATGTACAACAGAATGCATATAGTTAATATAAAATTAAATAAATAAATAAATAAATAAATAAATATATTTATATACCTGCATACTTTAGAACATCATAGACCTATAGTTACTCGAATATTGTTATTATTACAGTTCAGAAACACATATACATATATATATATATATATATATATGGAACTCTATTAATTTGTCACGTATATAGAAATCACAGCCAAGAGAGAGAAAAAAGAAAAAAACAACAACACATCATCAACAATTTATGTATAGATCTCATTTTTTTTTTCTTTTTATTATCATCATTGTTGTTGTTATTTTTTTTTTTCCCCTTTCTTTACCGCAAAGAAGTTTCAACTAATCCTAACCCCTTCTTTTCCCCTTCACACACCTGCAGATCTCTTTCTCTCCCTCTACACCTCATCCTCATCAATAAAGATGGCGTTCTTGGCATCTCGGCCCGGTCTAAACTGTTCATACTTTGATGGATCCACAAGAGGGACAGGAGCCTTCTTTCCATCAAGAAGAAGAATAGAATCATCATCAGACTCATCTAAGACAACTGGACGTAAACGAGATACTTTTTCATTTCGTGGAATCTTTCTCCGTGAAGAAGAAGAAGTGGAATTCCATTCACTATTGGGATCATCATCATCATCTTCTTCTTCCTCCTCTTTATCTCTTTTTCCATGATACGATCGCTGCTTCTGCTGCTGCTGCTGCTGTTGATACTGAGTTTCTCTTTCTTTCTTTTCCTCTACTCTTTGTTGTTGTTGTTGTTGTTGTTGTTTAGATGCCAACATTACAGTACCAGACTCATCCACTGTAACTCCCATCATACGTAAAATATGTCGTAATTGTGGATCATTCTCTGCACGAGATCTAATGATATCATCTACTAATGCCGTGAGAGTTTTTGTTTGACCAACAATCTCTTGTTGATGTTTTTCCCGTTGACGTCCAAAGCGGTGGGTTTCATTATTCTCATCTCCATACATTGGATGATGATCTACATAGAAAACTCCATTCTTTTGATATTCATCATAAAAGGCTCGTTCTTCTGTTCCATATTGTACTCGTTCATCATGTTGTAAATATACTTCATGCGATTCCGCGTAGAGAATGTGTTCAGCCACATCTGCCAAGATAACATCTTCTTCCAGAAGTTTCGCCGTGGAGTTTTCTTGTTCTTTTGTAAGTGTCGGTTTATTATTATTATTATTATTATTATTATTATTACTCTTCACTGCATGAGCCCGACCGAGTAATTGAAACATAGATTGCAATCCAAGTCCAGCAAGGGCATCTCGCTTTAAAGAGGCCTCTTCCACAATTGTACGAAATAACCATTCCTTCGCTACTTTCTGTTCAAACATGCGGTGTTCAAATGTTTGATGACACATCAAACGATAAACAAAAACAGGTTTAGTTTGTCCATATCGATAGGCACGTCCAATTGCTTGTCTATCATCTGCTGGGTTAAAGCCAGTATCCAGGAGAATTACTCGAGTAGCGGCAGTAATTGTAATCCCTACACCACCAGCTTTCATACTTAATAGAAAAACATCCGCTCCTTGTGTAGATGCAAAGGAACGTAATGTATCTTCTCGTTCAGCCCCACTATGACTTCCATCTAAACGACAATAACGAATAGGACGAGAGAGTGATCCATCTTTTTGCCAAGATTGATTCTTTTCTGCAATAGTAGTTTCAAATAAATCAAGCAATTTAGTAGATAAACTAAAAAGTAGAGTCTTTTCACCTCGAAGCAATGCGGCTTTTATAATATTAATAGCAACATGTAATTTAGCTCCATCTTCTGATTTTGGAATATAATCTGAAGGAGGTTGACATAACTTTATATATCTATTATTAAACTCTGGTTTAAATGAAGAAGTGGATGAACGAATAGCTAATTGTTTTCTTACTTTTTCTTCTTCATCATCATCATCATCTGAACTACTACTATTATCATCCTCTTCCCCTCGTATTGATTTTACAGGAGATGATGGATCCGATGCAAAGAGAAGTTGTGGATGAGCTGAAATTTTATTCGCATACGTTACAGCTTGAAGAAAATTATATCGAGATTGTTCTTCTCGCACTAATTTTAAAAAATCATTATATAAACGTGATTGTAGTGGAGAGAGAGAAACCACTACAACATATTCATGTAGTGGAGGTAATTCATCTTGTAGAGGTGTACTATCTACACGTTGAACAAAGTGTCTTAATTCGCGTATAAGAGTAAATGTCTTCATACGAGCTGCGGCCACTTCCCGTGGAGAGGCTTTACTATGAACAGAAGCTTCAATAGGATTAATAAAGAATTCTTGAAAACGTCGTTGCTCAAAATACTTGTGAAGGGCAAAATCTACCATTGCCCAATATTCTTGTAAATGATTTTGAAGTGGTGTTCCTGTTAAGAGAAGACGACGAAGTGGATGTAAACTACGTAAGGCTACAGAAATTTGTAATTTTGTAGATTTTAATCTATGTGCCTCATCACATATAAGTAAATCTGTATAAAAAGATTTTTCTTTCATTGTATGCATACTACTACTACTACTATTGTTGTTGTTGTTATTATTATTATTATTATTTGTATCATTCTTTACCAGACCAAGTACCATTTCATATCCAACTAATAAAATTCCACCTTCTTTCTTCCATGCCGTATACATTTCTATTCGTTTCTTCATACTTTCCCGTTCATCCATTACTATTGGTTTAATACGATGGGCTACAGGGAAATACTGCGACCAAGTTGTAAATTCATTATTCCAACCAGAACGTGTAGACTTTGGCACTACCAGTAATACCCGTTGTTTTCTCTCTTTATAATTATATTGTCTCATATATAAATGTAAAAAGATTACGACTTGACATGTTTTACCAAGACCCATTGTGTGTGCGAGAATACAACCAACAGCCGGCACTTTTCCTACAGGTCCTTCAGCGAGAATACTCCAGAGAAATCGAATACCTTCTATTTGATGCGGTCGAAGTTTACGAGTTGTAGATGTTGATATCTCTGTATTATTATTATTATTATTATTAGTTGTTGAGGTTGTGGAATCCCCAGCAACAAGAGAAGAAGATGATGATGATAATAATAATGATAATGGTGGGAGAAGTACTTCAGGGAAAAGAACATCATTTCTTAATGGATTCCCATCATTCCAATTAGAGATATTCACTAAACGTCTCCATCTTTCTAACATAATACGGTTTACCTTACGCATAGACGGTGTAATTTCCCCTTCTTCTTCTTCTAATAATAAATTTTCCTTGGCTTTATCAAATGTCATTTTGGCAATTTCTTTACGCTGAAAAAAAGGTTCCAGCAGAGCACGTACATCTGCACAAGTCATACTTCGAAGTAAAGATATATCAATCATAGTTTCTTGTTTATCTTCACTATTCTCATAAAGTGAAGATATCCCTACTCCAGATGTACCTCCATTCAGGGATAAACCTACCATGGAACTGCTCTCACCACTACCACTATTATTATTATTATTATTATTATTATTATTACTGCTAATACTAATACTATTACTATTGATAATGATATCATCTATACCAATGGGAATGTCTTTTTTAATTTCTCCTGGTTTGGCTTTCATACGTAACGGTTTAGAGTTACTTACGGTATCACCAAAGATAACTTCATCAATAGATAATGAAGTACGATCACCAGAAACAACAGTAGTAGTCCCTTCATCAGAGTTATCAGGAATAAACTCTCCTAAAGATACCGGTGCTGAAGATTTATCCATCATTAATCCATATCCTTTAGTTTGTACATCTCCATCATCCTCACTCTCAGACAAAACAAAGAACTCATCCTCCTCCATTAGCCCTAGTAGATTTATATATATATAAATATATATATTATTCAATTTGTTTTTATTATAAATACAAACAAAGAGAGAGAGAGAAAAAAAAAGGACAGTCTTAGGAAATAGTCACAATAATAATAATAATAATAATAATAATAATAATACTAATAAACATATTCCACGACTAACATCAATGATAAAACAAAAGAAGATTAATTTACAAAGATAAGCAAAAACGCAAAAAAAAAAAACAAAAACAAAAAAAAAAGATATAATAATATCATTATTTGTAATAGAATTTCTCTTCTATTCCCTCTTTCCCCCTTTTTTTATTTCTTTCTCACCAAATAACAGTAACACCATATCTAACAATATGTTGACGCTTTGTATTACTTACATTCTTATCTGCAAAGGAATGTGTGGCATTTCCATACATTTCACTCTCTTCCTTCTCTGTTTCTCTTTTCCATACAGGTAACCATATAAGTACTTCTAGAAGAAAACCAACCATCACATTCCCTTCTTTTTCTTCTTCTTTTTCCTCATGGTTACGATGTAAAGTAATGGAAAACTCTTTCATCGCCGATATCGCAGCAGAGTTATTATTATTATTATTATTATTATTATTATTATTATTATTATTATTGGGCCGTGCGGGAAGTTTTACCCATTCACACTCCTTTGCATCGGATGAAAGAAGAAAGGAAGAAGTAAAACTTCCCCCAACTTCTCTTACAATTGTACATTGACGAATAATTACTTCCTCATTACTAAAATTACGCCAAGCAAACCATTTTTCTTTTGATTTCTTTAATACTTCACAGTCTTCACGGTATTGTAAAAGAGGAAGATGAAGAGCTGCTGTGAGGGACATTGTAATAACTGCACATCTTCTACGTTCGCCACCACTACGCGTAAGGAGTTGTTGTTTTATCTCTTCAAAGGAAGGATCTTGATGAATACCATTAAGAAGAAAAAGTCTATAGGCATCACCATCATTTCTTATTTCATTATTATTTTTTTGTGTAAAAGAAGTAAAGACTGTGGTGAGAAGTGGTTGGCGAATATTATGAGAAAGAAAATAATAAGATGAGAGATGACTATTGATATCATGATGTTTCCAAAATGGATGATGTTCATTTGAAAGATAAAATCCATGTTGCTCCATTTGCGTTATTCGTGTTAATATATCACTATTATTATTATTATTATTATTATTATTATTATTATTATTATTATTTGGCAATACGGTATTCCCTTTATCATCTAATGTATGAGAAGAGATTTCTTTTTCTTCTTTTAACTGTAATTCCGCTTCTTCCAAGTTGGCAAAGGTGGAAACCCACTCTGGTATATCGCATTTAGTCTTTTCATTCTTTTTACGTATATTATCCCGTAGATTCTCCAAAACCAAAGAAGGATGTAATGAAGTCTCATTATTATTATTATTATTATTATTATTATTATTATTTTGTGTATATTCTGATATCGCCAGTCGAGAAATACTTATAGAAGAATCTTCGATATCTTTTCTATTCTTCTCTGTAGATTGACGCCATTCTCTCACCGCCGCATAATACGGTGATAATGATTTCACTAAAGTTTTAGATTTTAATGCCATCATAAGATCATTTAACTCTGCACATGTACTTTCATATTGCCAATAACAATATGTACAGTGAGCCATATACTTTAATTGATGTGTAAGTGTAATGGAAAGAACAGAAGCATTACATCTTGGGCAACAATAACAATCCGGACATAATGAAGGATCTTGACGATGGGAAGAATAAGAAGAAATTGTACCTTGTGAATCTACTTTTCTTTCTCTCTCTTTACTATGAAGATCCGCACGACGATGACGGCTTCTATTGTATTTAGATGAGAGTGGAGCCAATGCCTCTTTCGCCACACACTGTTCTTTACCGCAAGCCCCACAACGCCAAAATAAAGTGAGAGAAGAAAGTTGATTAGATGAATTCTTATGATGATGATGATGATGATGGAGCATATATGGAGAGACCAGAAAGGCCTTGGGTAATACATCTATACAAGAAGATGATGAAGATAATGAACATTCTTCCATAGTGGTTGATAATATATCTAAACTTTCCGGTATAACATAACAGTCTTGTATATTACACCGCGATGTAAAGTTAATGTCGGTATAATGAATTAAAACACTCATCAATTAAAGTTTTCTAATAATAATAATAATAATAATAATAATAATAATAA